AAAGAAGGTTGAAAGTCTCATTCAAAGTTTGACTTCAAAACAAACAAAAAATTTTAAGAACATTTGTTGAGGTAATGTTTTGAACGTTGTAACAACAATGCCGAAATTAACGGCACTGGCCAAACAGTAGCCCCCTCACCCCTCTGTTTGGGCATGTGTAGCTAGTGTATGGTTCCATTTAATTGTTTTGCCCTGCAGTATTTAAAACCAGCAAGGTGGCCAAAGGTAGTCACATGCTCCCTCCTTAAATGGTACTGCTGACTGTAACCCTGTTTTGTAGCATGAATTGCCCAGCACAGATATAACTTGGAGCCTATGTTGTTTGGGTCAGGCAATGTAACCTGCCTTGAAGGCATGACAGGAAATTTCTCAGGTCTCAAACCCTGAGGTGATTTTAGCTGTCTCACTGAATTTCCCTTTGGAAATTAACACAGATGTGTCCCCAGCAGATCTCACGGGAGAGAATTCTCTGCTCCAGCTGAAAAGAGGGGGGGAAAAGATCTTAATGGATACACCAGGCCTTAACCTTACCTTGTCTGTGAAGTAAAGCAAAGCTCATGGTTTTATCTGTAGACAGTAAAGAGGAAAGAAGAGCTCCTCTGCCCCCTTGCCTAGCTGTGTAAATGCAAGGAGGGGGTGTCCCAGTGCCCAAAGAGCCTCACTTTCCCGCAGCAGGTGTATTGCACACAACTCCACCAATGTTCCCTCTAAGCTGCGGAGCCTTGTGAGCAAAAACTCTACTGTGTGAGCTACTGGCATTAAAGTTGTGAGCGAGCAATTTCGCTACTGCATCAATTAGTTTGCTCTGAAGCCGTTTGTTTAAAGCAAAGTGTTTTGTGTGTGTGTGTTGCATACGCATTTTAGGTAAATTTAGGGAACTTGTGAATGCTGACGTTTCCTGGTTTCCTGGAAAGGTGGCATGGTTATGTTATAAACATAGAAATAATAAAATGTCAGAAATGTTAGTGTCATTACTTGTTTCTGTCGTTTTGACACACATACACACAGAGGGTAAATGACATCTGATGCCTAGCCCACATCAAAATTTCAGTGGGACATCAGAAGCTCACACACAGACCTTCCTTGTTAATTTGATCAGATCTATGAGGGCCTTTTATTTGTTTTTTTCCTATTGGCAGTTGTAAAATGAGATTCTAATTCATAGTTTTTAAAATGTATTTTTATGTGTTTTGTTCTGTTTATGTTGTAAGCTGGTTTGTGGGTTCAGCAAACATAATAGGCAACACTGGAGACAATTTCACAGACCTGCAGCCAATCTGGGACAGCTGCTGGTCGGTGCACGCCCCCTCGCTCAGGAGGAAGACCATGTGTGGCACCCTGGACTACCTGCCTCCCGAGATGATCGAAGGCAAATCCCACGACGAGAAGGTCGACGTCTGGTGCATCGGAATCCTCTGTTACGAATTCCTGGTGGGGCACCCGCCTTTCGAGAGTCCCTCTCACTCCGAGACGTACCGTCGCATTGTAGCGGTGGATCTCAAGTTCCCAACGTTTGTGTCGGAAGGGGCCCGGGATTTGATCTCCAAGTTGTTGCGCCGGATCCCCAACGAACGGCTCTCGCTGCGGGCCGTGAAGGAACACCCCTGGGTGACAGCCAACTCTCGGCGGGTGCTGCCACCAGCCTTCGGTTCTGCAGCTTCGAACTAGCAGTACACAGACTCGTGAGGGGACCCTGGATACAACGGAGGGACTGGAGTTCCTGTATGAAACGTCCTCTGCTCTCCACAGTTGTCGCTGGAAGCTGAGAGGGCTGTAAATGTGTGTTTCTTTTGCCTTCTCGGGGCTAGGTTTTGAGGCCCTGAACCACCACCTCAGCCTACCGCCCTTCTCAGCGTACCTGGGAACTGATGGTGAAATTCCCCTGCCTGGCCACGCCTGGCCACGAACCCTTCAGTTCTCTTTTAAAAGCAACTTTTAGCTGGGCCCGTTCTGAAACATTGACGAACACTTTATTAAAAAATACTCTTTTTTTAAACCTTTGGTTGTCTAGCTATGTTTTCCTGAGGGAGAACTATTTATCCTGTGGTGTTCCTATTTATCTCTGTTCCGTATGTCTCTGTCCCATTAAAAGTTGTTGGTTATTTTGCAAGGAATTGCAGACGGGCATTTCTTAATAGCCATGTAAGCGGGTGACGGCAGCCCTTATATATTATATATATGTGCCAGTCGAATCAGACTCTAGGGTTGCGGTGCTCATCTCCGTTTCCAAGCCGAAGAGCCAGCGCTGTCCGAAGACGTTTCCGTGGTCACGTGGCCGGCATGACTAAACACCAAGGCGCACGGAATGCTGTTCCCTTCCCACTGAAGTGGTCCCTATTTATCTACTTGCAATTTCTTGCTTTCGAACTGCTAGGTTGGCAGGAGCTGGAACTGGAGACGGTAGCTCACTCCGTCATGCGGCAACTCGGGTCTCGAACTGCTGAACTACTGACCTTCCACAGCCTGCAGTTCAGCGTCTTAACCACTTGAGCCACCGCAGCTCAACAACAACCAGTCTTGTACCATAGCAAATGTTAGACTAGGTTCAGGGTGACCCAGGTTTGAATCCCCACCTGTCATGGAAGCTTGCTGGGTGACTTTGGGCCTGTGACGCTGCACCCTGCTCGGCCCCTTCCCAAACTCTACCCCCTCCCCCAAATCCTTACTAATTTCCCAACCCGAAGCTGGCAGCCCAGTTGCCAACTTGAGGTGTGGAAATCCCTGGAGAGAGGCCTGGGAATGTCAGTCCTCAGGAATGTTGTGCCAGGGCGTCTACAGGTGGGCCGACGGTCATGCCAAAATATCCCCCGTAATCAATGCTCCCGAGTCCCTCTAAGCGGTGGAGTCTTGTGAGCAAAAATTCTACTTTGTGAGCGACTGGCATTAAAGTTGTGAGCGAGCCATTTGGCTACGGTTAGACAGAACCTCTGTCCCTGGTTCTGTCTGCCCAGGCCAATTTGAGAAAACACACAAAGCAGTCCTGTAGAATAGAAGACCAAAAAAATAATTTACTAATTAATAAAGGAAGAGTACAGATATCAAGGTCTGGGACCCCTGAATACATAACAGACTCTTGGGAGTGTTACAATGGGTGACATAGCATTTTATATTTCACATTACTTTACATCAGAAAAATAAAACAGAATTCTTGGTTCCATCAAACTTTGTCACAGAGTGCTTATGGTTCTTCATTCTAGCTAGGTTAACGGACATCAGAAACATGCGCAGTTGTAGCTGGCCAGAACAAGGAAGGTCACAAGCACCAGCATTTTTACCTTCCCAGCATGCATCCAAACAACAGTCACAAATGAACCAAAGTTAACACCTGAATACATTCATGATGTTAGAATCATAAATGGCACTTAACATAGGCACCATAGTCAGCGGCAGAGTACAAAGTGTTTCATGAACCCTGCGTACAACACTACTGCATAAACTAGTCTGCTCTGGAGCCCTCCTTCCAGAGCGAAGACACAAATGGGTGAGCCGGAGGCTAAAAAACGGTGAGCCGGCTCACACCCACTCAGCTTAGAGGGAGCACTGCCAGTGGTAACGTATCCACATCATTCTGCCTTTCTGAGGGATGGCAGGCAGGGACAGTGGTCGCCTCAGAGTCAAGGTTGCCAACCTCCAGGTGGTGGCTGGAAATCTCCAGGTATTTCCCTAACCCAAAGTTGGCAACTCTACTCAGAGTCAGGCCCTCCTTTGCTGCGAGGCAGTCGGAGTTCATATAGGGGAAGGGGTGTGTGTGTGTGTTTTGGTCCTTTGGACTTTTTGCAACGATTATTTCGTGTGAGAGCGCCTTTTGGGGCTCCACTTCCCCCCCTTTCCCACGCGGGGTCGGCTGCCGGAGGCCGCCTTGAGGGAGTGAGAGAAAAACAGGGAAACCAAGATGGCGGC